CTGTATTAAGGCCAGTTCCAGCTACTGCTTGCTTTACTTGAACCTCTAGTGTCCCTTAAATGAGTGCTCTAAAAAGTAATACCATTGTTGAAGTGCTAGATTTGTTAACTTTGTTAATTTTAGGGTCTTTTGGTATCGATTCCCGCTGTTAATGTGCACATAACTAGAGTAACATTGCAATATGGGCATCTCTAGAAGCTGTTCTGTAGGTGACAGGATAATAGCTTGGAGGAGAGGCATGAATTGTCATACATCTTGTCTGCCTTTTTGCTGTCCCTCAGGGATACAGACCGGATTTTTATCCTGTCAGTTTGTTTTGCTGCAGAATTAAGGCTGCAAAATGTGTTCCAGTGCCTGGGATTTCCCTTTCCGAAATACTGAGTAGCCTCAGGAGGCTGTATGGAAAAAGCAGGCAGCAGTTTTGGGTGCAAATTTCTTATGTCAAGATAACCCTTTAACTCCATTGTTCCTGTTCTCTGTATGAGAAAAAAGGGAGAAAGTTTCAAGTTTGGTCTGTGTAAGATGCTCTTTTGCTAAATGCTTTTCCTGACTAGAAACCTGGTGGTGACTGACAGAACGAAACACGCAGCCATGTGAACTGAACTTAATCACAGAGTCAGTTGTTAAGGACTGGATTGTACGATTTAGTGCGGGTGCCCAGTAGCTGGGATTGCAAGTGCTATGGGATCTTGAAAATCAATGTTTTGTCTGTCTGTGACGTGGAGATTTCCATAGCCTTGATTCCCCAGGGAAATCTGCATCTGTTGGATGTTAGTGGATTAAGACCAGCAGTGGTCCTTCTGGGCCAGTGTGAAACGTTTCTGTTGTATAGGTGTGGAGACACAGGGAGCTCAGTGCAGCAGTCAGGATGTTTTCACCATGGTCCATGGCAGCTCAGCAGCCTGCTTGCTAAGCTGGAAATAAGGTCTCTTGACTCCATCCTGTATTTTGGCTGTTAGATGCATCTTCTAACTGGAAACTGGTGTTTTGCAATCAGCGGTTGCACGAGGGGAAGGTGCTGTCTTCTGGCCTAAACTGCTACGTAAGGGACAAGGAGCAGGCTGAGTTTTAGCAAAGGTGCGAACCTGGTGGCACTGGGGAAGGACATAGACTGGATTTTCTCTTGCATTTTGCGAGACACCAGCACTGTCTCGGTCCTACTTGAGCTGAGTTTTCAGCAACTCTCGTCTAACTATCAGTCAGTGACACAGTGCTGGGCAGAAGCTGTGGTTCTCCTGCCCTTGGGTGCTGGGAGATGAAGCCGTAGGTGGTGGTATGGTGAACAAACAGCACAGCTTACTTTGCTCAGGTTGGGGTGAAAAGGTGGATATTGTGCGTTCTTGCAGTGAGATGTCTCTGACTATCAGAGCAAGCACTCTGGGACTCTGTTGTGACCCTACACAGAAAAACATGGATCTGCCCCGGCTCTGCCACCTGCAGCTAAGTCTTGGGTCTGGCCCATGATATTAATCGTAGGGATGTGATGAAGACTTTAATCCCTCCTATTAGGCAGATGTTGCTGTAACATGGAAATTCCAGAATTATCTCCTGTGAGCACTTTAAAATCTGAATTACAGACAAAGAAATGCAAATACTATTGCATGTATTTTTGGAAAGACTTATGTTGAAGCTCTAGAAGTTTGTAAGCATGAAGTATTATATAATTTTAGTGGAAAGCAAGCAGTAATAAAAACCGGGGTGTCTGGCCTTTGAGCCTTTTAGAAATGCAACTGGAACTTAAATTGCAGCTTGTTTTCCAGGTCATCAGTTTGACTTCTTGAGTATGTAATTCTCCCAGATGGTTTGGCTTTGTGGATGTCTGACATGATCTACATGTCTTCAAGTGTTGGGGTTTTTTTTGTTTTGTTTTGTTTTGTTTTTTTTTTTATTTCAGCCTTGGCACTTTGAAATGAATGCTGTTTGGAGTCTGAGTTGTGTAACATTAAAGTTTGAATTATGTCCAAATTTCAACTGTGTTCTCAAGATATGTCAAGTTTGCTCAGTGATAGCTGTATCCAGACTTCTTGAAGTGCAATGGTAGAAGCAGGCAGATCTTTCAGGCTGCAGAAACTTCTGGACAAATACTGAATCCTTAGCAGGCACAGACTGCTTAAATATCTGTTTCTGTAGTGGACAATATCAGATCATCCAGGTACTGCAGTAGCTGGACTTAACTTTAAGTCTCACACAGGAGTGCAATATGTATTAAAACCTTAACCAGTGTCTGTGAAGCTGTCTGGAATCTCTTCACTTTCTTCTATGTCTGGGACCTTAAGCTACTACTCACTTGTATTGTGCTTTGCATTTTATTGCCTTTTTTTATATATCTCTTTCCCCAGCAAGGTCAATTTTTACTGTTAATGGCTCTGTGCCTCTAAAACGAGCTGTGGAAGTATGAGCTATATTTTGTCCTGCCTGTGCACCACCAGTATAGATAGGCTTAGTAAATTCTTCTTCAAAGTTGTCTTAGTGCTGGCACCAGTAAGACCTAAAGAGGTTCAGCTTTAACTTTCTATATCAGGTGAAGTCTGAACACTCAGTTCCAAAAATTACAGTATTCCTAGAACAGTTTATGGGGAGAGAATAAAACTGAATAAACCCAAGACTTGTGTTCGTGGAAGCATGTAAGTGTCTTTTTGCTGCTTTGTTTTTTGTTGTGGTTTGTTGTTTGTTTTTGTTTTTGTTTTTTTTTCCACCTGCTCTTTGCTTGTCTGCAGATGTGAAGCTCCTGTAATTGAAGATTGTATCCCTGTTGCACTGCCCATGATTTGTCAGCCACATGCTATTTTTAGCTGGTTGTTTAGGATAACCCTCCTATGGCTGCTGACTCAGTGTCAGTGAGTACCAGGTTGTTAGTGCATCTTCTGACAGAACCTTGCTGTGATTTTTTTTTTTTTTTAATTGGTTTCCTTTTACAAAAATGTATTTTTATTAGTGTAATAATTCTGTTCGGAAAAAATTATGCTGTCCTAGTTAACAATTGCTTATCACAGTCTTTTTAATACATATCTAATAAAGAAGAGCTAGGTTCTGCGAAGGAAGACAGATAATTGCTGCTTTCCCCTCAAAAAAAAAAAAAAATCCAACAAAAATCCAAACCCCAGAACCAAAAAACTCAACTAAACAAAAACCTCAACAAAATACATTGACTCATAACATATTTTTAACCAGCTTCCAAAGTGATGGCGGCAGAGTGCTTTGTATGTTGACTAATTGATTGCACAGCCTTTGATTGATGGGATGCAATTTGTTTGAGCATCAGCTGCAATTGTAAGCTGTAGGACCATGGCTGAAATGATTCATGTGCAGCAGCAGGATCTCCAGAGTGAATTAGAGGCTTGTATTGACTGTGGCACTGTGCATGATTTAAAGGATTGGTGCTGTGCCATTGAGTGTCTGAAGCAATTAACTGCTTCTCTCTGCTGAACAATCACCTCCTTTTTTTGTGAGTTCCTCCATATCAATAATGACTTCTAGGATAGTTTCTTTATTTGGTGGCAAGACAAATAAAAATCAGTCTTACCGTTTTCTTTTTTTTTTAATTCTCATTCATGTGATTTTTTTTTTTTTTTTCCCCCTTCATATAAAATAAAGAAGTATTGAGAATGCTCTGGCACTTATAATGTTTTTATGTTCTTCTAGGAAATAATGGAAGAGCTCTGAAAGAGTGTGAAAAAGGTTTTATGTTTAATTTGTATTCCAGCCACCCCCAAGGTTCAGCAATCTATAGACCAGGTTGGCCCAGATGCTGTGGTACTGCTTTTTTAAAAAAAAACAACAAAACAAAAAACCCCAAACCATACTCCTACTATTAGCCTGTGGCTTTAGGGCTTTCTAACCTTAAAATGAGTTGGGCTTGGCTTCAGCAGTAGCCTAAGGAATCGGTCCCTAGCCGGTAAGGAGCAGTGCAGTCCAAGCCCAGCCTGGGCTCCTGCAGCGCTGTGCCGGTGGGTCGGCAGAGCCCGGGTGCAGGGGGTAGCAGGAGTGAGGCCCCTCTGCAAAAATGTGTAGGAGCCACGTGGCCCACATTGTCTTGTCAAAGTGTTTTTTTCCCAGAGATGATTTGCTGGCACGGTGTGGGAACTTCAGCATCTCCCTCCCTTGGGCTGGCCGGGAAAGCTTGTTGCAGCTCAGTAACGAAAGCTGCTTTCCTCTAGTGACATTGCTGCCTCATTTCTTCTTAAGTTAATGAGCTTGTAGCTTTTAATTAGACATAAATGACAGCTGTCCTGTCTTGTTTGTTTATATCTTTTCATACTGCTCTAGTACTTTCAAAAGAAGAAAACAAAAGGGGTAGTTTACTTCTGAAGTTGGGCAGCGGAGTGGGCAAAAGTGGTACCCAGAACTATTGGTTTTGGTCTAGCCTGGTGTTTTGGTTACTCTCTGGGAAGGTGTCCAGAAGTGCAAGTCAGCATTTCAAGATTACTTTTTATGTGGGCAGCACGAGAATTTCAAGAGCTACTGAGAACTGCTTCGTTGAAAAGTGGTGTTCAGAAATCAACACATCCGCCTCTGTCCCCTTCTTTCCTTGATTTTTTAGGAGTTTCTTGCCCATTGCTTTTCAAGACAGTTTGGCTAGCCCTTCCCCCAAGGGAGGAAGACAGGTAAGGCAAGACAGCTGGGGTGGCTTTTAGAAAGAGTGAAGAGGTGGGTTGAAGAATGATGGAAGGAATTGAAGGGTGGTGGACTGAAAAGGTGGTTTTGGAAGAGAGAGTGAGTCAGTGAGACTGTGTTAGCAAAACTACTGAAAATGACATGTGGCATCTTAGGAACATACTGCTGTGGTCCAGCTGCCTGCAGAAAGGACATGTAGCTGCCAGCAAGCAGAGGTTGTAGTGTACAACATCCAGACCTGTCCACAAATCTTACTGCTTCAAAGGGTCTAATTTTCCTGGGGGAAATGAGAATTTTTGGTGTCTTATTTGTAGTGAGTCTTGAATGAGGGAGGTGATGGAATTGCAGGGAGAGAATTAACTGAGAAATACGGTTTTGTTTTTCAGGCTGGCAGCCTCGATGGTTTCTTCTCTGTGGTGGCATCCTGTCCTACTATGACTCTCAGGAAGATGCCTGGAAAGGTTGTAAGGGAAGCATCCAAATGGCCGTGTGTGAAATTCAAGGTAACTAGGATACAGTAACACTCAGCTGCATGAAGTTTGTCCAGTAATGTTGCATTTAAGTTGAGATTTCAGGCCACAAGAGCTATTTGGCAGCTTGATTTCTTTGGTATGTGTTTGTAGTAACCCAGTAACTTGATCTATATGCCAGTTTTTATTCTATAGTATTTTGAAAATGTTAAGAGAGTGGCAAGCCTCTACTATAATGGGTATTCTGCAGGCAGGTGGGTCAATGTTTTTCACGAGCCCTGGTGAAATGTCACACAGCTTTAAATGGCTCTTCATAAGCACAAAGCTGAAGCTAGAAATATGAATAATAAGCTTCAGTACTAGGCCCGCTCACTTGGATTACTTGCCACATCCTTGAGGTTTGGTTGTGAGCTGGAAATCTGAAAGAGAGGCTTGTCAGAAGAGGATGCCCATTCCATAAAGACTCCCTGATCATGCTGTACTGATCACAAAACTGCCTTTCATAGCCTTTTGTCCCGCAGCTGTGCACATGTACGTCCTGTCTATTCCCTAACTCAGAAGAGAATTCATAAAATGGCAACAGAGGAAGCTTGGGGCTGTGGATTCCTCCTCTTTCATTACTGTTTGACCTGACACCTAACATATTTGTTGGGATATTCAGTTGGGCTGGGAAGGGTTCGAGGACTGGTCTGAAATCTATGTTGCTTCCAGTTCATCCTGCAGATAACACACGAATGGACCTTATCATCCCAGGGGAACAGTATTTCTATCTGAAGGCAAGAAACGCAATTGAAAGGCAAAAATGGCTGGTTGCACTAGGAACTGCCAAAGCCTGTCTGACTGACAGCAGGACACAGAAGGAAAAAGGCAAGAACACTTCTTTGCTGGCACATACTGTTTGCTTTTTATTTCCCCATCCTTACCCTAGTAGACGTACACACAAAGGTGACAAAATCCATACCTGAACTCTGTGTCCAACCTGTGCTTCAGGTCTTTGGTGCCACTAAAAGCCAAGCCACATGGGAACTCCAGCTAGAAATCTCAGGTGTTAACTCTCAGTGCAGGGATTTGAAAATTTTGGCTTTTTCTTAAAATATAGTATGTATAAATAATTTGAAAACTGTGTGCTGATGAATTCTGTACATACAAGGAGTGAGTAGCTCCTGGCTGCAGGTCACTGGGATGCAGACTGTGCATGAAGGTAAGACCCCATCTTGTGCAACCATCTTAGTATGATGACCCAGCCTTGCACTAGTGGGTCCTGAGCTTTGGAGTTCCTCAGGCCCTTTCCTTCCATGTTCTAACTGGCCTGTCTTGGGCGCTTCAAGAATCCCTTGCAGTTAAAATAAAGGTTTGCAATTGGTTTTAAATTTGCATACCAGCATTTGAAAACTGAAATCCAATCATGGTCAGGCTATGAAATTTAATTCACTTACCTCTTTGCTTTCACCAACAATCTCAGTTTCACCCCAGTGAGAAACCCTTTTGCTTACAAGCACAGTGTTATTCACGAGTCACTGTGAGACCTTGTGCCTTAGCCTTGTGTTACCTCAGCACAATGACTGTACAGAAGATGGGAAAACAGCAAATTATGGGCACTTCCTTTCCCTGAGGTGAAGAGTCACTTCTCTTAGCCTTATGTATGTCCTCACCAGGCTTTTCATCTACCGTTTCAAACTGAGTCATAACTGAGCAGAAGATGCTACTAAAGAGTCCTACACAAAGTGGGGATCTGATGCACGGTGCCTAGAAGCAGAACAAAGTGATATCTATAAACTGAGATACTGTAGCACAGGGTGAAAGGTTACCAATGTATTTGCAGAACAAAACCATGTTAATCTTACTAACAGACAAACTAACTTATTTTGTAATTCTGGGACTCTGATGTCAAAAAATGACTTCTGAAAAACCTCAGATTGACTGTTAGTCATATCTGGATTAGTCTGCTCAGTTCTTCACTGTCCCGTATAGGAAGCATATGAACATGCTGGAGTGAGTCCAGCAAATGGCCACTAAGATGATTAAAGGAAATATCTGATGGGAGAGCATAAAAAAATGGAGGCAGGCTCTTCTCAGTTAATGGACAAGAGGAAATGGGCATAAGTTTAAACAACTCCATTGAGACATAAGCAAAAATGTTTATATTGTGAGGATGAGGGAGCACTGAAACAGGTGGCACAGAGAGGTTATGGAGACTCCAGCCTTAGCAGTGTTCAAAACCGGACTAGACACGGCCCAGAGCAGTGTGCTCTGATCCTGCTTTGAACAGAAAAGTAGGACTAGCTGGTCTCCAGAGGTCCCTTCCAACCTCAGTCATTGGGGTGAATTGGATTCAAGGGTATATATTAAATTAATCCCTTTGTGTTGGACAGGATGTGTCTTTTCCCTTCAATGTTTTCTACCCAGAACCCTGATCTTTTAGTTCATGGTGTAATTATTTGCACCTTAAATTACTTAGTGAAAACAAAAAATACGATATGTAGGGGTTTCATCCTATTTAAAAGGCCTGTTAAGGTTGTGTACTTGCTTTTTCTGTGTCCTAAGCCTAGGAACATACTGTCTCTGTTTATGATGGCAAATAATGAAACAGTATTGTACCTGTCAGGAGCATAATTTGTGGCCAATCCCGCTCATCTTTTTGACTTGATAGAAAATGTTTTGAAATAAGGAAGTATTGATTGGATGAGATTGGATAATACTATTTCAGCAACTTTCCAAAATTGTATACTGCAAGATGGCTACAATAAATTTCACTCTTCTTTTGTTTCACGTTTAGAGTTCACTGAAAACACAGAAGCCTTGAAGACCAAAATGTCTGAACTTAGACTGTACTGTAACCTCCTTGTTCAGCAAGTGCATAAAACGAAGGAGGCCAGCATTTCTGGTGTATCAGAACCAGAGGTACAGCTCTATTTTTGATGTAGACCACATCTGTAAACTCTCGAGCATTGTGAACTCTTTGGTTAGCCAATGTAGTAGTCACTCACAGTTGCTTAATGTTGCACCATCTTTCTGCAGAGAACCTGTGGGAAATAATGTACCCACACAACAGTTCTTGTTTCAATGGAGTAATACTGTATTGTTGCAAGTAACTTCCTTTCTGTTAGGGTAGCAAGTAGTGAGATGAGATATATCTGTGATCTAGATAATAACATCTTTGTGGGTGATCATGTGTATATAATTGGTCAAAAAAGTGAAAGATTTTTTATAAAAAGATAACTTCAAGAAGTGCACATCTGTCTTCCACTGAGTCATTAAGATTCCTGCTCAGCAAAACACTGATTTTCTCAGCCAAACCCCTTAAAAGGTCAAGAAACAATGCAGACCTCAAAAAAGCAAAATTGCTAGAAAGAACTGGCTGATTAGCCTCACTTAAGTTAAAGTTTCAAACCTTGCAAATCTTCCTCACCAAAGAAGCCTCATTTAAGAGAGGTCTCCTGATGACTGTGATCTGCCCCTTGCTTTGAGAGAGAAACGTGCCAACAGGAATGCACGTCACTCACTGGAGAAGCTGATACGGAGTTCCAGGATGCCTTCCAAGGGAGTGGTGGGTCCTCAGGTGCAGGTCAGTCAGGCAAAACCCCTGAAAGTTAATCATTTGTATCAAACCATCCCTGTAAAGCTACCTGATAAACTGTTCATGGTGACTTAACAGATGATGTAGAAGCACGAGGTAGTGTATAAATGATAAAAGACACTGTTAGAACTTGCAGCTCACATGTGTTGACAACAAGCAAGTAATATGATGTTTATCCAGCTCATAGTTCACACTTCATGGGGAAAACTTGCATTCCCTGATCTTACTGGTATTTAACTGGAAAGATTTATCACTAAAAGCGTTTCAGCGTCAGGATCATCACTCTGCAGAAACGAAGAGTGTTGTGGCAATGTGATACTTCATTCTGCCTGGTTTACAATTTTTTGTTCGTGGGATTTTTGAAATTATTATTTGTAGATTGTTCTGTATTTAATTTGTTTACTTTTCATTTCTCCTGTTGATGGTGTGTTCTGGAATGCCATTGTTGAATACATCAAGGGTTAGTATTTAATAGACTTTTAACACCAGAGATAAGTAACTAAGAAGCATTGCTTTTAAAATGCAAGCATACTGAGCTTGTTGTAGTGAGAGGCTGTTAAGAGTGGTAATGCTGTGTGGGGGCATAGCCCCAGTAATATGGGATGCCAGTTCTCTGAGCAGCTGACACAGTGCATTTTAATTCATGTTAAACAGAAATTATGACTGTAGCAGCTGTGGGATTTGTAGATATTAGTTGCTCCAAATTGATCTTCTGGGCTGAGTCCATTCCTTCCGATTGGTTTCTTCCCACAGAGCGAGATTGATATGGGAGCTTTGTTAAAATCAACCTGTGACACCTTCTTGAAGACTCTTGAAGAATGTATGCAGATTGCAAATACTGCCTTCACTTCTGAGTTATTGCATCAGACGCCACCTGGATCCCCCCATTTAGCAGTTCTCAGAACGAACAAGGTAATGGCCAGTACCCTCTTCTCTTGGCCTTGGCATGGATGCTAGGGTGCCCTTTTGTAAAGTAGTGTTTGTGTAAGTGCAGAATGCATTTTTACCCATATCGTAGCTAGTAGTCATCCGCTGGACATGCTCTGCTACTTCTTGTGGTTTGCAAGTGAGGTAGAACCATTTTTAAATAAGCAGTGACCAATCTCTTAACTTTTAATGACAGGTGAAAGTTATTAATCATTAACTTTCAGGGCCTGCTCCAGCTACAGACAGTGGAGTTTCAAAATACCGTGTCTGTATGGCAGGTTGGTCCATTGTGGGAGCTCACAGCAATTATTACTCTTCTAAGCTAATGCCGCATTGGATCTGTGGTAATGTGCCAACAGGAGCTGATGAGCTTATCTCTTTAATGACAAGGGCATTTTCTTGAATCCTGGATCCGCAACTACATAGGCAAAAGTGGAGCATCTCTGGCAAGCAGCAGATTAGCGTGTATGTAGGAAGGTACATGTGTCACTGCATCTGGGAAGTGAGATTATTTCACCATACCTGGTATCTGGCCTCATGTTCCTTCTGTTTTTTCATAATTTTTTTCTTTACTAGAGAAAACATCATTGCAAAGGAAACTCACTGCCTTGTTTCTTTTTCACATGGTGTCACTTGGCACTTGCTAACTAGCTTCTGAAAGAAGTCTCCTGGTTTGTTTTTGTTTGGTTTTTTTTGTTTGTTTGTTTTTTTCTCCTTTTTTCTTTTCGATATTTTAATGGTGTAATAATGTAGCACCTTTCATGCTTGTTTGTATACTGTCTCCAGGTCAGAGAATTAGTGAGCGCATGATTAGCTTTTCAGCTTTTTTGATGACTCCGACTTGTGTTTAATAAAATGTGAAGTTTGAGAAGCGTGATACAGTCTTCTTGCTTTAAAGAATATTCTCTGTCCCCGCTTATCTTACAGATAAAGCACTCTGTCTTGTCCAGTCACACCTCAACGGAAAGGTATAATAAATGTCTTTACTGTCAGTCTGTTTCCAATCTGGTTTTGGTAGTGTCTGTTCTTTCTATATTTTTACTCGAATATTACTAGTACTGGATGGAGGCAGAATTGTATTGCTCTGAGCTGTGTATTTGAAAGCAGACACAATGAAAGGGAGCTGGCTCATTCCATGTCTCTTCTTTATTATCCCTTTCCTTTTTCCTTTTTTCAGCCAACCACTTGGTGACTTACTGGTCAGTCATGAGTCAGCTGTCTCCCACTTCACTGCTTTTTCCTTCATCTTAGGTTCCACTCCATAAGCTCATAAAATCATAGATGGAGAGCAGGCTATGATTTGCAGCGTAGATGGCAAGGGTATATATTTTAAAGTACTAATGAAGGGATATTCTTTCAGTTACAATGCCTGCCTGTGATTTTCTTTTTTTGTAATCAACTGTATTTTTTTGATTCTGTCTCTTTTTAATGAAGGTCATTGTAAATGCTCAGAGCAGCCTGTGACAGCTTATAATTTCTGTCAACTTATTGTTATTTGCATGTTTTCACAGGAAGAGGTTTACTAAGCAATGCTTTATACGCTAACCATTATTCTTTCCTTTTCTCCAGGCAGATGGAATTGAGCCCCTGTGAAAATGGCTCTGTAAAAGCAGAAATTAACCATCAAGAGCAAACTGTTATTAAAAGTCTGGAATGTTTAAACCTGAAAACAAATGAAGGGAGCAGTGAAGTTTCTGTTGAAGATCACATAGCAGAGGATTTAGCAGGTAAATATATGCACCGTCTTTTATCCAGGAGCGTTACTCTTCAAGTGTAAAGGGAGGTAGGTGTAGGCTGCCTGTGAGAGTGCTGATACCTTGCTTCCCAGGAGGGGGAATGTCAGTGTATTTTAGTCTGATATCTGCCCTTTGCAAATCTTTTCAGCATAGCTCCTGCCTTTGTTGATATCTAACTTGGGACTGAATGGGGAAGCAAATTATTTTTTTTTTTTCTTGGACAAGTGGAGGCTCCTCTAGATGCTGATTGATGTGCATAACAATACAGGCTGACAGAGCCTGGACTCTGCTTGCACTGTGAACAGACACGTTATTTCCAGAGGCTCTCCACTGGGAACAATGGCACCTCTGCTAGTATGTAGGGCTGCACTGTCAGGAGGACATTGAAGCTTTGTGTGTCTGCCTCAGAGGGGTTGACCATGTAGTCACCCTTGATTGCTCTGACAAATCTTTTTGGAACATTAACCCTTTTTCTATAAAGCACCTTATTTCTTCCATTACCTTAGCCATACTATGAAACTTGGATTTGCATGTGACTTCAGTAAAAAACTGTTGAACTAATTCAGTATAAAATTCTATCCAACATAGCTATATTGTTAAGGACTGCTGAACTTAATTTGGGTTAAGTCTATACAAATAACGTGTGATTTCTGCTCATCCTGTTGAATGGACTGTATCAATCTTGAACATTAGCTTTCTCTGCCTGGCCGTTATTCCAAAACATGCATATGCAATCAGTGAATCAGCTGTTTTTTAAGCCCAAGTTAATGAACATGGTGATTTTGCTCTTACATGGATTCTCTTTGGAGTTTTCCCCATTTCTGTAACTGGTGATGTGTAGTGTGGTAAAACCCTGCAGAATAACATGCACATGTCGTAGTTTGGCATAATACCTCAAGAATACAGTGCTAAAGCAAGGAGATCAAACTAATTCCAGTCAGGTTGTTGGTATCATTTAGCTACTGAGGTTGTTCCTGTGCAAAAAGGAGAAAAGCCTGCCCTCTCTCAGGTGGGCACATTTGAGTGCAGAGTTCTGCTGGCAGCACAGGGTGGAGTAGAATGTGCAGTGCCGTCCGTATGGGATGGGCTGAGCCGGCCAGCCTGCGGCTCCGTCTCACCGATGGCTTTACGTGGGTGCTCCCTGTGAGCCCAGGAGCTCTGCTCTGTCTCAGATGCTCTTCCCTCCCACACGCCTTTATTAAGAGCAGTCAATTTTTAAAAACATTGAAGCGCTTAAGTCCCATAAGAAATTTCTGTTTGCCATTTAGGGCTTACAGTGTTCGAGTTTGAAATTTCAGAGGACCCCAGGCTTTTTGCATAGCATCCTTTGGAGTCATTGCAGACTTAGGCTGTTTCTCTACTCAGCAGCTCATGTGTCTTTGTGGAGGACAGATCGGTGACATCCCTCAAACTCTAGTTCCTTCGCAGAGTCACTTTGCTTGTGAATGAGGCACAGTCAGTGATGGCTGAGGCCGTTTTCTTCTGCCCTGAGGAGGATGGCTGAAGTTACTTTGCTGTTACTGGGTGCAAGTGGTTCTTTCTCCACCCAGCACCAGACTTATTCAGTGGTTCTGCAAGTAATAGGGAAAGCTGCAAGTTTGTTTCCAGACTGCACTTGGAGGAAAAGAGTTCCTTGCAGCTTGATCCCTTCAGCCAAAAGTTCAGCTCTGCTTCAGGTCTATACATTTTCACTGGCATTTGAAAGTATTCCTTTCCTAGAGAGACAGGTTCCCTGGGAAATCTTGGATGCTAGTTTGACAGTGTGGCAGCCAGATGTGCTGTAGCCATGGCTCGTACACTGCAGACGCTGTGAATATGTAATTTTTGCTTCTTGACTTGTTCTCTGCAGTTGTCCACGAGGTCAGAACATCTTGCCATGCATGGGATGTGACCTTTCTTTGTCTTGAAACTTTGTCTTCCTTTGGACGTGCTCATGTAACGCTCTGTTTATATGAAACAGATGCACTTGATACCAAAGAAGAAATAAAATACACCACAGAGGCAACTGGTTGTTCTGGAAAGCTTTACAGATTTTCATATAAATTGGGGAGAATATAGCAGCCTTTGATATCATATCAATATCCATCTAAGCAGCCAGTTTAATTACTTACCAGAAGCAGCAAACAAGTCACTATTATTATTCTGCTTTTGAAAATAAACTGTGTCACTTTATCAGCACTGGGGAAGTTACAGCTATGTGAGAAGTAATCTGTCTTTCAAGGAGATGAGTCTGCTCCCTGCTGCACCCAATCGCTTCTTCAATGCTCTTTTCTCATAAGGCTGTCCTTGCTGAGGATATGTGGGCTCACCTGCATTGGAATCTGGGGCTTGGTCTGTCTGATTAAAAGAAATGGGGAGGGGACTGTTTGAAATGTGGTCTGAGCACCTGACAGGCCTGTGGTGAGAGTCATGGTGCTGGCAGGGAAAGCTTTTAAACTTGCATGATCCAGATATCCAAGTGCCCTCCTTCAAACAGAAAGCATCTGGATGAGCAGGAATAACAATACGGGTATGTGGCTGTTTTTCTATTTTTGTTTTTCTTCCGTTTCATACAAATGTAAGGCATTAAAGAAGATGGAGACAACAAGCTGCAAGCTGTAGAAAGCTGTGGTGCCCACCAGTTGCTGCAGTCGGAAACGAATTCTTTAAGTGGATTGACTCCGTGTGAGAAAAACAGAAATGAAAATGATTCTCCTACCTTCTTCAGTGTCATGAGCAATAGGTAGTACAGATTTCAATTTGAAGGATTCTTGAAACTTTCTTAAGCCTTTGATTATTTTTTTAAGGCTCTTCTGTCTGTAAACCTGTATTTGCTGAGGTTATTTAACAAGACTGCATACAGCACAGTAATTGAAGAAGACATTCTTTGTAGAATTAGTGGTACAGAGTGGAGTGGGAGGTTTTTTCCTTGTTTGTAATCACAGGCCTTGCTTACACACCACCAAATGTGTATTTTCTGCAGTCATTTACTTTAACCTAGTGAAATAGAATACATGGTGGTGGTTCCGTGACTATACGTTTTATCTCTGTGTAAATGATATGGACATGAAATGCAATTTTAGCTTTAGAAGTTGCACAAAAGGAGTTGTTAAGGTAACAGTCTTTTCTGCTTGTCCTGGGCACCAGGTTCAGTGATATTGAACTTCGGGAGGAGGAGGGCATACCAACAGAAGAGTTTCTGGAGTCATGTTATGCAATTGTGCCTGTTCTGGGTAAGTAGCTCCTTCTTTTCTTCTGACTACTTTGACTGCTGCCAGCTGTGAGAAGAGGTGAACAGTTGGTTTAGAGAATTTGTTTCTTTGCTAAAGTAATATAGTAGAAACAGTTCCTGTCAGCAGAATCAATTTGACTGGTACCAGAAGATGTTTCTTACTCCTTTGCTTTATTGAGAACCACTCTCATTTAGATGGGGCCCATGTATAAGCTGTCTGGAAATCTATGGGTCTTTCTGGAACAGCAATTTCTTCCCCTCAAAAGAGCAGCATGGATGCCTTTTGGCATCCACTGGCTGTACGTCCAGTACAGCTGACAGCACACCGTCAGCTGTATTGTCAATTTGATTTTTCCAAAAACTTTTATCTCCAGCTAGTGCATCCCCCTAGCTGCTTGGCCCCTGCATCTGAGAGTGGATGTGAGGTCTGTGTGAGCATGCACCCTTTTGAAGACTTCCAAACTGTAGTCACTGTATTTTAACACTTGTACCAGCTGAGGTGGATAGGTTCTACGCCAAAGAAAGACTTCAGTTTGTGTCATTCACGTAATATTCTCCTGCTGTTTAGAAGGATTGTTAAGAAAGTAAATGAAAGAAATTGTTACTAAAACATGAGGACTGGAAAACATCACAGTTTTTAAATATGGCCTTTTTTTTTTTTTTTTCCTAGATAAGCTGGGACCAACTGTTTTTGCTCCTGTTAAAATGGATTTTGTAGGTAACATCAAGGTAACAGTTTATTTCTTGCACTGATTTATTACTTTTTTTAAAAACCAAAATATCTATTTTTGGCACTAAAGCTCAAGAATCTATGTTGTAGGAGTCAATACTGGAAGGCTATTTTGTGTTTTGTAATGTTGCCATCTGTCAGATTAGAAAGCTGAAATGCCCCTAATTCTGTTCTTATGGTATGTGCTGTGTTTAATAAACCCAGTTGTTATATCCACACTTATAAAATACTTGATTGACTGCCAAGTAAAACATCTGTTGCACCTGATGAATATGACTTTGATTCTGAATAGATTATAAGTCATGATGTGATGTTAGTAATATTGACTTTAGAATGTAAAACAAATGGAAGGGGGGAAAAAAACCCTTTCCTCAACCAAGTAGGAGGAAGTTATTGCATTAAGAAGCAGATTCTCAACAGGTCAGGGCAGACCCTACAGCTTTGGTTCTTGTTCTAGAAGTTCTTCAAGCTCCAAGTTTGAAAAGGTTTGAAGTGCTGCTTGTAAGACAAGATATATTCATAGAGAGACTTTTCGTAGCTTTTCTTTCAAGACAAAAAAAGAAATAAGAAAAGCAAAACATATCTTCTGAGTGTATGGTAAGGAACATTGCATACATTCAGATTTGTTTGGTGCAAAGACAGGTATTCACTTATCTTACTGAAGGTAGCCACTGAAAGACTGAAAATAGCAAGAGAGGATATTACTATTTAAAAAACTAAAACTTTGAATATTTATTGTCAGGTGATAAGCAGCTACTCCTTTAATGTAGAAGAAGAATCTATTGCTATGCCCCATATCTTCTCTCTTGGTTTTGTGAGAAGTTGTGTATAACAAACTTGGGAATAAATTAAAAAGCGTAAACACGTAGGTGATTGCTAAGTGAAATTGCAGGTTAGCAGTTTTCAGAAGGTAATCTTGCTTGTACTTGAAGCTCAGGGGAAATGGGACTTTGCTTGGAGGGCAGGTTGAGTTAACTCCTTTCCACTGGTGTGGAGGATGCCATGTGAACCTAAAACATTTTGTCAGACAGAATCGGTAGGTTCCATATAAATCTTTGGCTGAAGATGCTTCTTTTTGGTTGCGCTAGCCAGATGGCTAGCCAGATGTGCCTGGGCTGGTGCCCTGGGGAGGCATGCCCAGCGTGGCAGGGCAGCTGTGCTGTGGGAAGTGTGTGATGTGGTTGGGGATCTGTGGTATCCCTTTTGAAGGGAAGAGTCCTGGTAAGTAGGTGGTGTTTATAGAACACGCCACTGTCCTTTTAAAAACAAAACAAAACCAAAAAAGCCTAAAGCTTTGCCTCTTTTTTTTTTTTTTTTTTTTTTTTTTTTTCTCCAGAAAATAAACCAGAAATTTATAACCAACAAAGAAGAGTTTGATACCCTTCAGAAGATAGTGCTCCATGAAGTGAATGCAGGTGTAGCACAAGTTAGAAACTCTGCTACGGAGGCTCTCCTGTGGCTGAAAAGGTAATGGCCTTGTATCTACTTACACTGTGAACTGCTAAGGTGCACTGAGGCTTCTTTCACCAGTGCAGGCTTGTGTACATGGCGCACACTGGTTACTTTCCACAGGCTCTGTTGATCCAAGCTGGCTAGATTCAAGATAAATGTGTTGTCTGTGGTTGTACCACTACAACTTTGCCAAAAGGCATAAAAAAGCAATTGCACGCAAGTCTTTTTGCCATAAAAGTGAAGTTACAGTGAGTGACTGATCCTTCTGGGCTAGAACATCAGGCAAGTGATTTTGGGCTGCAGCAGAAACGTTTTAGCAAAGTGTTTTTCCTTGGGCTGGGAGAGAGGCTGGAGAATGTGACTGCATTTTTTTTATTCAGATTGAGAATGGTGCCTTAATTCTGAGTTTTATTGCCCTTTTGAGTTGTATTGCAACTCTGAGGGCTTTGTTACATTTTGGGTTACTTTGTTATAAACATGGTTTCTTTTTATTTTGTGGGTTCACCCTGACAGAGGCTTAAAGTTCTTGAAAGGGTTTTTGATGGAAGTGAAGAATGGAGAAAAGAATATCCAAACAGCTCTGAGTAAGTGCCAGTTGCTTTATTCTTCATGTGCTTCTGAATTTAGATACTCGGCTATTTTCTTCCTTTAGAACCCGTGTTTTCTTTTCTTCAGTGACTAACGGTGCAGGTAAACTCCCAAGATGCAACGTTTTTGAAAATCGCATTTTTTGAAAATGGCCATCTTCAGGCAGGTTACTGGATAACAGGTCAATACTGATTTAATAGCAGATAAAGATTTCTTTAATTGGCATACTTTTGGGAGGGGAGACAGTCATATCTTAGGGAAAAAAGTGCTTTGTCTCATTCCATTTTCTTTACTGGTTTGCAGTGAGAGCAGTCCCAAATTTATAGCTGCTGTTGTATTGGGTGTTTTTTAGTTCCTTGTGAGATTGGCCATCACTCTTTGAAATCGCCTCTTTGCTAGTATGGCTGTGAATCCCCTGTATCAGTTTAGAAGGGAGTTTGTAACAAAAAAGAAGGAATTTTTTCCAAATACACGATTTCTGACACTTAGCAAGTCAGGCTAGTGCCCACAGCAAGTATAAAAAATACAAACCCCTCTTAGACTTGGCTCGGTTATTCCAGAGTAAAACCCCCTCTATATGCATGCAGTTTAGAGTTACGATAATCCTGTGAAACAGCTTCTTTTAAAGCTTCTTTTTTAGCTTCTTTTAAACAGCTAAGCAGTTGCCCTATAGGATTAGTAAAAAGAGCTACTACGCCAAGGTACAGAAGTGGGCCTGTAAATACACTGCTACCAGATGTGGATGTTAAACACCGTGGAAAGTCAAGACACTTATTGACCTTCTGAGTTTGAAGGCTTCAGCACTCTATTACTATTTGAATTGTTCTGTGCAGCAGAGCCATGCTGCTGGGTTTTTTTAGCTCACTTCTTCCTTCCTTTTCTTCCCCTGAAAAACTCCTTCATATCTGTATCACCAGCGCAGCTTTGGTTTACTGCCAAGAGTTTCTTATTTAGGAGTTACTAAGCTATTCGAATCTCAGTAAGGATGGGGTATGTGTTCTTTTTCTACAACCTGAAGTATCAAGCTAATGCAATTAAAATAAAAAGTGGAATACCCACCAGTTCTTATGATCTTCTGAGGAACGAACAGCTTTCTGAAGGAATTTGTCTTTGCCTGGGATTTAAATCTAAGCAAACTTTTCAACTACTGGTGTTTTTAATGTCCCCTTCATTTGCTGTTAAGGGAGAGAATAGACTTGTCAGTCGTGTTTGCTACACGATAATACCCTCCTCCTTATTTCATTGCTCTTATTACTGTATGCTCTTCTCACAGATTCTCACTCATTTTGTAAAGATAGAAGAGCAGCGTTCCCCAGTTGTTAGACTGATAGATGAGGCATACTTCATATTACAGCAAAACTTGTTTTTCTGATTTTTTTGCTGTGTTTTTCTGATTTTTTTTTTTTTTTAAACACTTTCCCAATAATAACTGTTTGCCTAAAGTGGCAAAACGTAGAGGTTCTCTTTCTTCAAGGTGAACAGCTCAGGAAAAGTATAATACAGTGTCAGATACTTAAAAATTCAACTGAAGGACAAGGGTATAAAATGCTGACAGTGACAAACTAAGACTGGGAGAATATGACTGAAAGATGTTTGGCTTTGTATATAGAAAGCTTTATATATGAAAGTGGAGCTGTCTAGGAGCGTAACAAGGGCCTTCATCTAAGGCTGCACTCAGGGGCACTCACAAGACAGATAGAGGATTATTTTAATAAAGGTCCAGTGCTTTCTGTTTCAGTGATCTCAAAATTTGACCCTCAGATGTAAAGAGAGAGTTCTTGGTTAATGCCTGAGCTAACCACCCCGGCTGAGGCTGGCTAACCATCAGCTTACAGGATTGTTTCATCTCATACATTATTTTCTCAGACTTGCACTGAACTAAGAATTTATCTAGTAGAAGTATTAGTTGTGAAGCACAGCTAGTCAAATAAAAATTACTTTTGCCTTCCTGTCTGTTAGAACACTTGCTTGCTGTGAATGAGTTGAAGGAGATTTGACAGCAGAGCTGAGACCCCAGTGCAGAAATCCCAAATCTGTCATCTCCTTTCAGGCATAACTGTGGTGCTCAGAAACAGCCATTATTTGCATCCAGTGGCAAGCATATATCCTTAAATAGTTGTTTCTAAGCTCTAAGTTCTCTTTGTGTTGGACACTTAAAACTGCTGTACACCTGTCTCTTGATTCTTTTTTTTTTTTTCCCCCTCTTTAAGACAATGCTTATGGAAAGACTTTTTTTTTTTCCCCCCTCTTTAAGACAATGCTTATGGAAAGACATTACGGCAGCACCACGGTTGGGTTGTCCGAGGGGTCTTTGCGGTAAGTATTTATCTTGGTTGCTAATAGAGCTCGTTCATGTGGTCTTACATTCTGTGTAATTAATAAACTATGTTAAAATTCTAATCACTAAAATGAATAGATTCCTTTGTCAGACCTTATTTTCAACGTGAGAATTGTGGTTATCACTAAGTTTGTACTGGGCTTTCGGGGTTAAACCTGCTTTCTGGAGCCAAAACTGATGCATCATGCTTGTGTGCGCATTTTTTTTTCATTATGTGTTTTTCAGCACAGTCCTTCAGGGCTTTTAAATGAAGACATGAGAGTTTGAAGTTGCTTTTTAGACGATTGATCTGATTTTGGATGTGAGAATTCAAGAAGGGTCAGGGTAGAATATGTTAAGGAGTTGAAGCAGAATATATTGGCTAGAGGAAAGGGTTTATTTTCTGTCCCGTGTGGCAGCGCCCTCTCGTGTCTGTCACTGGAAATTATCACTGAAATTACAAAAGGTAAAAGGAGAGCCTCCTCCAGGCAATCATGACAGAGGCATTGACTAGGAGAAACAGAAATGTTAGGGAGAGCTTTCTAAAGAGCATTCTGAGAATGAGACTTCAGTGCTGAAGTGTATGACACTGGATTAGGAGCTCCCCTGACAAACTGTACTTTAGTTGAGGTTTGTATTTAATTAATTTCTAATGTGTGCTATTTATTTGTACAGAATCTGATATACAGACTCTACCTAGAAATCAGGCTTCTCTGAAGCTGTCTTAAACTGGGGATCTACAGAGATAATAAAAATAAAATTAAAAAGTGTTAACCTCTCCCCCAGTTAAAAATCTTAACATATGCACATACACATAGATACATTAAAGCTATGCAATTAGTGCAAAGAGGGGTGTCTTAGAAGGTTTGGGGTTTTTTTTGTGACGTTAGTCGGGTTTCTTCTCCTGTTCTGTTTTGCAAATCTAAAAGCTTTGGTTCCTCTCCCAGTTAGCTTTAAGGGCAGCACCAACGTACGAAGACTTTGTGGCAGCTCTGTCTGTAGAGGACTGTGATCCTCAGGAAGAAACATTTTACAAAGGAATGCAGAGGGACCTCAACATTTACTTACCAGCCATGGAAAAGCAGCTAACTATCTTGGACACTCTCTATGAAGTACATGGTTTGGAGTCAGATGAGGTGGTATGACTACAGCAAGACCACATCTTAAAACTTCAGGGACCGTGTCTGTTAACAAAGATTAATTTCAATTTGGGTTTTTTTGGATATCGTTTCTGTTCATTGTATCTTTTCAGGTGGGAAGGGTGTTGTGAGTGTTTTTGGGGAAGGGAATGTATGATTTTTATTTTTTTGTTACGCTTGTTTTGTGTTTAAATGCAGAGGTACTGTTTCTCTTTGGGTCATAACTATGTCTGTGGTGAATGTGTTTGACTGTTTCTCTCCTGCCTGTGCACGTCCTCTTCTCTTCCCCTCGTAAAAGTAACAGAGCAGAATTTGGCCTTTGCTCCCGTGCCGCGGAGCCGTTGGGAGGCCAAGGTGGCGCCCGGGCCGGCGCGGCTGGCTCCGGCTCTCCCATGCCCTGCGACCGTGTGGGAGGACAGAGGTAGTGAGAGTTAGTGTTGCCCTGGTAGCAGAAGAGAAAGGAAGCTGAATTCCAGCTTATAAGGTATGCGGTGAGTTTGTCCCTTCATTAGGGTTGAAGCTTTTTAATGCAGCGCTTCCCCAAATATTACAGAGATCTTCACCACAGGCATATGTTCCTGGTGGCCTGAGTTTCCCCGGGAGCCAACCTCTGAAACTGGGTGTTGTGTTCTCTGACCAGCTCCCAGTATGTGCCACATCATCCCTGTCAGCTCCTGCCAGTGGACTGCAAGAAATTTGCTGGCACAGATTGGCAGAGCCCAGCTAATTTCAATGGTGCTTTACACAAGCGATTGAAGATCATGGCCGTCATCCTGGTTTATTAAGGTTTTGTTGGGTTTCTCTAATTTGGGTTTAGGATTTTCTTAAATCAAATTCAGACAAAAACATAATATTTACTTTTAAATTGAATACAGCTAGCAGTTTAAAAAGCAGATTTAATTAAAACCCTTCCTAGGCTGCCGTTATGGGCAGAGACTTCATAAAAGTGGACATGAAATTACTAAAGGGTAGAGGAAGCTAGAATTTGTCATGGAGCCATTACACATTGGACCAATTACAAACCTTAAAATCTGAAACGATGTAGAAGTGACTGGAAATTAAGAAAGTAAGATTTGACCTTTTTACCATTTTACTGATACAGATAAAAATGTGCTCCTTAACACTGATGCTATTAAAAATAATAAAGAAGTCCTTCTAGCTAGTGATACGCTTAAAGACAAAATTCGTAGTTGTGTTGATCTGTGATTCACGGGCTGGCTGTGAATGACTGACTGCCCATTCAAGGCATCAGTGGTGACGTAGGGCTTCAGATGGCTTTGTGGACAGATTGAGTTTAAATCGTGCAGGAGGAGAGAAGATTGTGCTAACGACGAACTTAGAATTAGTAAATCTTTGTAAATATAGGAGAAGTCAGTGTCGCCATACTCACATGAGAAATGCTGGCTTTTGCTAGGCTAAAAACCATGTTGTCAGTAAAATGAATGTACTGCAGGCCTGCTGCCCTGCACCGCGCACCAAATACCTGATCCTTTCTAAAGAGCCTAGCATTGAGCTTTAAGAAAAGCATGTGATGCTTGAAGAAAAGACCAAACATCACACTTGGTGTATAAAGCAAGATACCGGGACTAATTAGGCATTTAAACAGTGTGACTTCCTTGTTCCTGTCATCTTCTCTGACTTGTGCCTGTCTGTAGTTCCTACATACTCCAAGAGGAATCAGAAGGGTGTGGGGGTTTTAGTTTTTCGGATATACTGAATTAAGTAGTATGTATTTATGGTTGAGTACAAAGTCAAAACTTTTGACCAAAGCTCCGTTCGATTATTTCACTACTCACAGTGCTATAAATGAAGCAGAGAGCCTTTGGGATTTGGCTGTCTGCTGCTTCTAAGCATGAATACAGAGAAACCACCCTGGGAGTAGAAGAACCAAATCTCTACCCTGCATGATTTCCTCAAGGTTTTCAGCTGTTATATGGGAAAATTTGCTGTAATAGTTTTTAGCTGAATGTTCTGGGAAGGTAATGGAGACCTCATTTCCACAAAATACCAGCTGGGGTATGAGGAGAGCAGGAGGAGATCCCTCTTCAGAAATTAACTGTCAGATCGTGGCAAAAATTGACTTTCTTTTTTGCTCTGAGCTTTTCCAGTAGCAGGAAAGTGTATTCAGCACTTAAAGTCGTGGAGGTATTTTGGGGTTTTTTTGTTTGTTTGGTTTGGCTCTGGTTTCTTTTTTAACTAGCAGGAAACCCACTAGTTTGTTAGTAGTGCATCAGACCCGATGTTTGATGTAAAAAGTCAGGAAACTTTATTTTGTGGGCAGAGAAATTAACAGCTTCATTGGCCTGTTAGCTTCAGCAATTACTAACTTCTACCAGTCTTCTTCTTTATAACAAAATTAGAGTGGTCTGCACTGCATATCCTCTGTTCAGCATGGCATCCTGCATCAGAGCAGGCTTTCTCATCTTGACCTTCTGTGTGAAGTTGGTCTTTCTGAACTCAGGAATTGGTGCTTGAGAACATTCTTAGGAGACCATGGCTTCAGGAGACCTCTGTGTGCTTGTTGTTACACAGGGGACTTCTAGAGAAGGTCTCCTTGCCTTCAAAACTTGTACTTCACCATGCACTGCTCTTGCAGGGCATTGAGCACTTGTAAGACTTAAGAATACTATCTTTCCAGTCAAACCACCACTGAGAAAGAAACCCCTTGCAGCATGGTGCAGAGCTGAACTCCAGGTTATACCTCTAAGGTTGCAATAGACCAGATGGCCAAGTGGAAGCACTGCTAGGCAATTCACTTCTTTCTTTTCCTGTGATGTCCGTTTGGCAAGCAGAGAGGATTGATTTTTATTTTAATAATTGTAGAGAACAAGCAACTAACTTCTGGCCTTCAAATTTAGGATTGGAGAGAAGGTCGGTGTTTTCCGTTTGATTTGTTTGGTTCGTTGATTGGTTAGGGTGGTTTTGTTTTTTGTTTTTTTAACAGCTGACATTTATGAACAACTGACCTGCATACTGATAGAGGTCCATGTGACTCTCAGATAGCAGCACCGTTAATCTGTATACTTTACATGAACCGCTTTGGTTCCTTAAACTGCACTAGTCTAAAGTTTTGTGTCCCTTTTCTTTAGAAATGCTTTCGGCTGTTTCCTTCAATGTCTAACAGTTGCATATTCTCAGGGATTTTACTTAGCCATGACAAAATAAGAATATTCATAGCCTTACCCTAGGGAAATAAGGCTGCTTTCTGTGAAATTAGTATAGCTGGGTGTAGAACTCTGATACAGCATATGACACCGACAGTGTCTATCCAGTGTGCATCCCTGCTGAAACATGGTAAATCCCAAAGCAATCTGATAGAAGTGCTATCTAGTACTGAATAATGGCAGTCAGCATATTTGAATAGAGATCGTGCACATACCTTTGTAATACAGTGCCGTTGGCATTAGAGCAGAGCTCTCAAATAATTTGAGTTCTGCTTAGCAATGGGAGGCTTTTATTTATTTTATTTATTTTGTTGTAATTTTTTTAAAAACAAACTATGTCCTGGAGCCCCCTCTGCTATTTTAAGACACCATACTCAGTTGCATATTGAAGTTCTGTGATATTACAATTGTAGAATATTAACTGGATCCTCAAGTGCTTTAGTGTCAACTTAAGGAGTCTTTGAAACATCCCATCTTGACAGCGGTCTAATATGGGTCTCCCTTGAACAGATGCACTTAAAGTTAAGGGCCATATACCTTCACTTAGAAGCTTTTTGTAAAGCATCCTCAGGATTTAGGTTATAGCTATTTGCTTTTAAAATATTCCATAGTTTGAAAAGTGTCACTTGGCTGACTGGACGTATAAAAAGTATGCCCAAAATGTGCTCCAGTTGTTTGCAGCGTGCTTTGGCAAAGGGGTGTGGACTTTTCTAGAAAATGATGTTACCTATGTCTGTATGCTGGATCTTATAAACATTTATTTTCATTATCACTTAAGCTTTTGTGAAAAACTTTAGGGAACTTTAAACTGCCTTTCAGACACCAGAACAGATCGTTAGCATGTTCCTACCTGGCTGCCTTTCTCTCTTCCCACACCTGATCCCCCACCCCTTCTTTTCCCTCCATTGTCATCTGCTTTGCTACCAGAGCTGCTGTTGTCATATCGAAGCACCTCTCCATAAGAGTGCAAAGCAGGAAGTTTTGTAAGTGAAACAAATGTAAACTTAGAAAAGTAGACCTGAATTCTTTGGCATTCAGCCAAACACACAGTCAGATGCAGAATGTTCTGCATTTCTCTGAAGATTCTCCCTGATTTGACATATTTTGTCAGGAAAACCACATCACTTTGAACTTTTAATAGACTTGGCAGCTCTACCTCTTATGAGTGAAAGCACAGGGATTAATTACTTTTTTTTTAATTGACTGACTTCTTTTCTCTTGCCTGCCTAGTGCAGATAACAAAACAAACAGAGAAGGGGAGTGGGAATAACTGAATTAGTGCTGCCTTCTGTAGCTCTTTGAACAAACCCTGCAAACAACTGCATGCTCCAAGCGATATAAAAATCACCCTTGTGCAAAAGGGGTATCTTAGCGCACTTACTGGCGCTGAGCAAGCCTAGGCAGTAGCTGATCCTGTTCACAGTTCACACAAGGATTTTAAGCACTTGCTTTGAAGTTAGAACATAGGCATATGCTTCTCTTAAACACGTGCACCCTTCCACTTGCATGCAGTTCTTCCAAATGTGGTCTTTGACTACCATTTTTAACATGCCTTTCTTGGTATAGGATTTCTTCCCCCAGATACTCCAGATGTGCTAGAGGTGGATGTTTTGTTTTGGGTTTTTTTTTTTTTTTTTAATATATGAAACTTCCTTGTTTTCATATCCTGATTTCTGCCTAACACTGAGTATGTTAACTTTATTTTGCATTGCAGCATTCAGGGAGTCCAAAACTAATTAATTCCTTTATTTAAAGCCATCTTGAAAATTTGAAATTTATATCTCCCTGAAACTAAACAAGCAAATTGCATTCCAGAATACAGTGACTAAACTGAAAACCAAAGCAGCTTGCTTATGTGGTTTCCTTTCCTATTTTCTTTTTTCAGGTGAGTATTGGGCATACATTTTATCAATGTCAGGCTGAGCTTACTGCAAGCCTTACTTATACGTACTAAAATACATTACATACATACTGAAATACATTTAAAGATGAAGAGAAGGTATATTGCCTCACACTTTAAATTTACTTAATTCTAAGGGCTTGTTCATGCCCCCAAAATCACCTCTTCCATTGTAAGCATTGCACGAACTGTGCTGTCATAAGCAGTTCAGTCTGAAATACTTCGGAGTTTCCAGTCTGTATCGTCTCTCAAATCCTACAGCATCTGTCTCTTCTTTTGGAGCACTGTTAAGACTTTTGTCAGACTTTTATATAATAAACTTTCATTATAATAAACTTATTTTAAATAAGCATGTTTTAAAATCTCACTTTCTCCTTGCATGGATTTTGTTTCCTTTATTACAATAGAGGGCCTAAAGTGCTCTTGAGGACTGCATCTGTTCTAGGTTCTGTGTGAACAGTCAAAAACCATATGTTTCTGGTTCACAGGAACTACATGTATATGTCTTTGTACGAAGAATGTTGACAGACATGGAGCCTGTTTTGATTACAAGAATAAAAACTCTGTCTGGCATATGGTTGTGGGTCCTTGGTCAGTGTACATATGTGAAGGCTGTAGTTACGGAAGCCAGCCTGGCAGTGTGAGAGGAATTTGTATGGCATGTATGATTTGTCCTTCTTTTGCCTGTACTTGAATCTCTTCTGTAGAGATTTCAAAAGACTTCAGAAACTCCTCTGTGGCCATCTTGAGATGCAGATGGGGACTAGTACTCCTTAATTAATGTGGGTGTAACGTCTCCCTTTTCCCCCCCCCTTTCCTTATCTCTCTCTCTCCTCTCTCTCCATGCACACACACACACATACCTCCCCCCCCCCCCCCCCCCCCCCCCCCCCATTCTGAGCGCCTCATTAGCTTCAGCAAGGGCTGAGCTCTGGCAGGAGCTCCAAACTCCGCATCCCTCTGCCTCACCTGCTGGGGCTGAGCTGGGACAGAGCTGGCTCCTCAGTGACGGACAAATAGTTCAGAAGGCCTTCCAGTGCAGAGATCACATCCCTGTTTCGCTGCTCCAGGGTTTCGTTCATCTTCTTTCCTCCCTAAGGAAATGAACAGGTTATCAGTCATGAGACCCTGTTAGCCCCAGCTAAATAACAAGTTGTGTCACTAATGCTCTTGGAGGTCCTCCTGAGGCACCTCCTTGGCCCTGTTCTGAGGGCATGTGGAAATAACTTGGAGCCTGGGTGCCCCTGGCACGGGTTGTCATTGCGGCCAGGGAGCAGATTGCTTTGGTGGCTCTGCTGAAGTGGCAGCTGTGCCCCAAGGAACCCCTGCGCCCCGTTCCCTCTCTTACCCGGCAGCTCCTCTGGGGCCATGCTGTTACGTGCTGGGGTTAGCTGGGGCTGCTGCTGGGGCAGAGCTCCGTCCTCTGTGGGTATCTAGACTGGGTTAAGCTGTAGCTCTTCACACCAAAACAAAGAGGGTGGACGCGGAGACAGACACTGAAAGCGGCACAGAGTCTATGAAAACTTCACTTGCGTGCAGCATTAAGATTTACTGTTTCCTTTTCTCATTTGAAATCGTAAGGTACTGTTCTGGCGAAAAGATGAGGTTTCAGCTTTCCATCCAGGCATGCAATAACAAATTATACAAATGTCCATTTTCACCAGAGAAGTAGCAACTTGCTGCAGCCATGCAACTTCTTTCCATCAACATTTTTGGACTTGGAGGAGGAGGGATGTGATGGGGTCCATCGTGCATCACAGTGTCCATGTGGTCCTGCTCCATAACTGTCAGTACTTTGTCAAAACCCAGAAGCTAATGCCTCAAAGCCTAGCTTTGAACCATGAGCTGTAATATTGATTTGCCAATGAGGACTGCAGTCTCCTATTTTAAAGCTGAAACGTGTCCACGAGCAAAAAAAACCAGAAGGTGGTGGCTGTGGCAAGAAGGTCGGCAGCAGTGCAGTGGGACATGCTAGCATGAGTCATTAGTCACCTCTGTAAAATGCTCTGCTCTCGTAAATAGCTGAACACAGACCACCAGCAGCACTGCACCGACGTGTTCTAATAGAAATCCCGTGCACAAAATACCTCCCGGGCAAGTGTCTCCTCACTACAGCTTCCACTTGTTAAAAAAACCAAATCTGCTGCCGTTACAGGATCCCAGATGAACTGCAGAAAGAGCCCCAGCTAAAGCTTTGACAGAGTTTGTGATGTTTGTTAGTAAAAGGTCAGGGGCTGTGACAGTGGCTGCTAAATTCCTGCCCCCGCAGGAATCTAGATCCATGGTTCAAAATAAAAAATGGTGTGCTGAACGTGTAGGGTTCATAGGAGCATACAGATACTGCTGTTAAAATGGGAAGTTCAAAGAGGTCACATTAAAGATTCAGCAATGACCAGAATATTAATAAATATTTTTTCTTAGGGTTCTCCTATATGGAAAAAAAAAAAAAAAAAAAAAAGACTGTTTTCTGAATTTAAGGGGGAAAGGCAATGCAAGCTCACAGCACCAAAGCTTTGACCAATACAACCAGGCAAAGTGAAACATTTACTGGATTGGTTTCTTTTTAGCTCAACTGGAAACCCTGCTATGCTGGGGGTGGTGTGGGGCTGGTGTGCAGTTTTGCTGCCTTGTAGGAAACATAAAGCTATTGAAATGCTTTATGAGTACGGGACCATAATTCGCTGCCACATCCTGGATGGAGCACAAGTTTTGGACATCAGTATAATGTGTTTATGCAAAGCTGTTCCTGAATCAGAGCCACAAAAATAAAAGTTCTTTTTTTATCATTTGGGGACTGGTGGAGTAAGTGTCAAGCACAAGTACAAGGACTGAGAAGAGGAAATGTGGGAGATGCTGCAGTACACCAGACACTTCCAGACAGTGGTGCAACCAAGCTAAGTGCCTGCTGTCCATCTGGAAGATTTTGTCCAAGATGTTAACATGTATTTTTTCCTAATATTTCAATACAGTGAGCCAAACATCTTAATTAGCGGATATTTATTCCTCTCCTTCTACGTCTAACACAGATTTTCTATTTGTTTCTTGTGCCTTATCATTAAAAAAACCCATCCAGCTTCTGTTCTCTGCCCTGTGAGGGGATGGTTCCCAGAGAAGCTACAGTGATGGCAGTGCAGGCTCAACCCCCAGTTTTGGGAATTAGGGAAAAAGGATTGTCCAAGCTTTGTTGTGTATTTGCATTCCCCCCAACCTTCACCTTTTAGCAGCCCGTATTACTCTGCTGGTGTTCTGGCTTGCAAGGTCTGCTAAAACTTCTCCAGGATCTTTTGCTGTTTACCCACTGCTTTGGCAAGGTGTCACCTTTGGTGCAGGAGGAGCTGAAATTGGTGACACTAGTGTCCTTACAGAGCTGTCATTCAAGGAGTCCCTGAGATGCTGCTTGCCTGTCGGGTCCCCCAACGGGTCCTGGTGCCAACCAGAAGCCTCTGGCCACTTTCTAAGGGTGTACCTCAGTGCTTTCAGCAAAATGCACTGGTGTGTGGCCTGTGCAAAGTCCTGCAGCAATGCCAAAGAGAGACTAGGTCACTGTTTTCTCAAAATCAAACAGATCTGAGACTTCAGAATGCATTTTTCATCAATTTGTCTTCCTACCAGGGTTCCTGCTCCAGCTATGGCTTTCTGCCAAAATAATTTCCCATCAGTTTAGCATCTGTTTCTAGTGTTGCTATCGCCAGCTCATCTGCTCATCTGTAGTCTTCAGAGACCAGACGTGCTTTACATAGTTTCCTATAGGTCATAGTTTTCCGCTTGCTTTCTTGCTGAGCAGTTGGTACCCAACCTTCCTGCAAGCGAGAGGAAGCTGCGTGCTGTGCAGCCTCTGCTGCCTGCCCCGCTTTCTCCCTAACGCCACATTTGAGCCGTGGTCTCAGGTATTTGAGGACACTCGCTGAGCCATCGAGGGCTTTCCCCAAACCAACAAAGTGAGCAGCTTTGCCCCACGGGCAGGGCACAGCCGTGTGTGCAGCCGGGTGCTGCAGATCCCTGTGAAGTCTGTGCCCCCCCCCCCCCCCCCCCCCCCCAAGTCTGGGAGAGCCTTCTTGCCAAAAACACAGTGGGAGACCCTTGTCAAGAGCAGGAGGCACGCTCTCCCACACAGAGCTTCGTTTGGCTGGCCCTGGCCCTTGTGTTGAGGCAGCACCAGTCCTGCCTCAGCAGAAGATGCACCAGCCAAGCCCAGGGACCTTCTTGCAGACGCTTATCTGTACGGAGTTGTCCCCTTGTCAGGGACATGCTGAACATCCCAGTTGCTCCTTGGATCCTGCCAGGACATTTCACAATTTATTTTCTTCAATCTGGCTTATTAAATTCCCCTTCCCGCCCTGCACCTCCCCCCCGCCCCCCAGTCTTCTAAGCCTTCATATTCTCTCACCTTTAATTTACAGCACAATGTCAGTGTATAAATAGTCACTGCTACTTTTACCCGCCTCACGATTCATCAGTCACCTTGAGCAGGCTGCTCTCCCCAGGGGCTCAAACCAGCCCCTCTGTGGAAGCTTGGGAAAACCCCAGACTATTTCAAAGAACTTGGATGCTCTTTTTGTCAGCCAGCCCAAAAATTTCTTCACATGGCACTTTGTTTTCTTGTATCAGGCCTTCACTTGTGTGAAGAGTTCACTAATCCAGGCTATGCTTCTGAAATTCTTCCGTCAAAGCTCTTCTGCTTTCAGTAAAGTAATTAACAAAGTAATTTACATTTTCTTAAGCCTGTATCATCAGGCAATCAAGTAATTTTCTTACATTCTCTGAATAGCCTGTGTGTATGTAGCTGTTCTCAGGACACGGAGAGGATTCATCTGTCCACATTCATATTTTTTTTTGTCCACAGACCGTCTCAAAAGGAGCTTTGCTTTCAGCTACTAAAAAAGTAAAGCAGGATATTCCTGTGAGCATGTGACTTCTTGAAAAAACTATTTGTTATTACCCTTTTTATTGAAAAAGAAAGAAGCAAGGAAATAATCAGCCCTCTGCTGAGGGAGCAGAACTGGGTCTGCATGACTGAGGTATCCAGCTGCACACTACAGACCCCAAGCCACTGACATTGCCATTACAAGGACATGCCTGCAAGTAAGACAAAAAATCCTCCAAGTATGCTTTGTAATGGATGGCAAAATGGGTGGTTCATAACCAGAAACAGAACAAATCACTTCCCAGTGATTTCTGTAGGGAAATAATTCAGCACTCACTGCTGGGAGCACAGCTGCTGTGCCTTTCCAGAGATGCACGCAGCACAAACCTGCCTTAAAGGACTTTTCCTGTGGGCTATGAAGTTTGGTGAAACCACGAGAAGGTCTGGAAAACTGCCTTGGTTTATATGCCTAAATAAATGTCAGACAGTTCTGATCATCTCCATAAATCAGAGCTGTCAAGCATGTGTCCCCCAGCCTTGGTGAGAACCTTCAGTTGAGCTATAGGTGGGAAGGGTGCAGAGGGGCATTCCTGCTGCTCCTGGATGCCAATGTTGGAGCATGGTTGCCAATGCTCCAGGAGCAGCGTGTTGGCCATTGGTGCGGTAGGAATTAGGAAGTCTTCAATCTTCACACACGCTCACGGGACAG